GGCATGCCGGGAAGCGTAGTTCAGCGCGCCGTCTGCCTTCTCTTGAAGTGCGCCCAGTACGCGCCCAAGGACTACAGTTCCCAGGGGGATGCGCGCGAGCGGCCGCGGACTCCACTTCCCAGGAGGCCGCGCGTGAGAAGCCCCGCCCCGCCTAGTATCCAGCGCCTCGATCCGAGGACTCAGGCGGTAGCTATGGGACGCGGGTTCGAGTCCCAGGCCTGCCAACCAAGTGGAGGGTGGTTGCGAAACGCACTAAAATTCCCTGGCCGCAGCTCTCAGTCTGTAAAAGGGGGTTGCCGTTCATACAGCATCTGCGGGATGGCTTTACGTACTATGATACAAAACTGTCAATCCTGCCCGAAAGGGACAGCGATAGTGCAAGGCGGGGAGCAGAATTTGGGTCGCAGATTGCACCAGTGCGGGCGCTCCGACCACCCGTTGGTCTAGCGGCTGGAGTTCGCGGGGGCGATGGGGCGGCCAAGCCCCGGGGGATGTCCGGCCCTTGCCTAGTCTGGGCCTGCGGGGCCAGCCCACTAGCGGTCAGATCTCGGTGCCGGGCCTCCCCTCGGGTTCCAGGAAGGGGGTGCCTGGCTCAGCCCTGGTGATCCGTGCAGGTCCCAGACTCCCCCAAGTTCTGAGTCCGGGAGTGGCCCTCGTGCGGGGAAGGCACCTGGCCAGCCGGCTGGGCTCAAGGCTGACGCTTATGTGCGTCGCTTCTGGTCCACGGCCGGGTCTAGCCCTCTCTGTCCAGTTCCCGTTATTCATTTCCTTAGTGCCAGCGCAGATCACTTCTGCCCTCCTGACCTCTTGGCGGTTCACACAGGAGAGCTGTCGTCCACTCTAGGCTCTTGCCCTGGGCTAGAGCCAGTCTGGTTGAGACGCCCATGCTGAGCTGGTGTGGGCACGGAGAGAGGCCTGGGTGCCCGACCTGGCTGTCTGGGGTAGGGTGCCAGGTTCTCCCAGAGCCCCTCCTTGTGGGAGAGGGGCAGCAACCCCCTGGCCCTGTCCAGGGCTGGACGGTGTATCAAAAGAACACTGAGCACATGGTGTGGCCCCTGCACTCACTGGGCAGGCGGCGTCCCCTGGCGCCTGCAGAAAGAAGCCTGCTTCTGTGGAACCTGGACCTGCGGCCTTCTGTTCTCCAGCAAACAAGGGCGAGGAGTCAGTTTACAAACCAAGGGCTAGATGCTTACTGCAAGGAACAGGCCTCTGCATGAGACCAGGTCTGAAATGTCCTGCCAGGCCTTGGCTCAGGGGACAGGCCTGGGCAGAGCCATCCTGCCAAAGACACAGCCCGGGGTTCAGGGGCTGGCGCGGCCCAGCCCCACCTGGACCTCTGTGCGTTTGGAAGTTTGGAAGTTCTGTGGCCAGCAGCACTCGGGAGTCACCACAGTGCCGGGCAGCACACACCCCTCTGCAGGGCTCTGGGACTGTCTCCACTCTGAGCAGAGCCACCGTGCCAGCATGAGCAGAGGAGGGAAGGCCGGGCTGGACTCCAGCTCCGCTCGGAGTGGCAGAGGGGCCGTGGAAATGCCTGAGGTCAGCACAACTTGGGGTCCCCGGGTGGGCACGGCCACCCTGCCCACAGGGTCCCCTTGGCCCCGTGCCTGGCTCACCATCACAGCAGGGCTGGTTGCGAGGGACCGAGAGGAGCGCTGCAAGCCCCGGTCAGCTCCCTTGGGGCCTGTGGGGTCCCTTCCCCGTGCACGTGGAAATGGGGAGCGCCAGCCCAAGGGGCAGTGGCCACGTGACCTGAGATGCTGGTCCCAGGAGAGTGTCCTGACTCTGCTGAGGATGGGTTCTTCCTGGGGACCAGGTGTACTAATCGTCCCATTTTGCCGTCTGGGTCTGTGCTGACCCTGGAAAGACCGCCCCTCCCAAAGCCAGCCAATTCCTAGAGACAACAAGTAACTTCACACACCAACCAGCCATCCAGACCCCAGCCTGCCCCCCCTCCACAGGGTACTGTATGTCGTTGGGGCTACCCTCCACGGGCCCTAATCGCCCAGGCCAGGCACCCCACAGCTAGGTGCAGCCCACCGAGATTATTCTGGCTAGCCGGGCCCAAGCCTGCACACCCAGCCTTGCATTTCTTCCTGAGAAACCACAGGAAAGGCTCCTGCCCACGTGTCCCTTCTCCCTTCCTCCCGACCACCCTGGTGCCTCCCTGCATGGCCCCCGTGGTATGGCGGCCTCGCCTCTCGGGAGCCGTTGATAAACTATCTTTATAATGGCTGTCATCTCCTTATCTCTTGGCCTCACCGTACTTGAGTGATGATAAAAGACCAACTTTTAAAGCACAAGTTAGGGTGCAGGCCGTCCCCCTTGCTGGGAAGCCCTACCTGCCCAGCTTGCGGCTGCCCCAGGCGGGGCCTGCAGTGGGGCCTCAAGGAGGCCAAGCCAGTCAGGCCTCCACGTGGTGCAGCAGGTGGTCCCGCACTGATCTGGGCCTGCACCCCACCTGCTCTAGCCCCCAAGGGTTTCTGGCCTAGCTGCCCCAGGTCCCCGTCCCCAGGAGCCTCTCTTCAGACCCTTGGGGTCTCCTTCCATGGCCTGCGGGGTGTGTGACTCCTTGGTGCATCCACGGACCAGCCTCATCTCCACCTGCATCCTGACCTGGTAAGGAAGGCCCCCCCTACTCTTGACCCTGGTGACGTGAGCACCATCAGACCACATTCAGGGCGTCTCTTCGGAGAGCCTTCCTGAGTCCTGCTAGCTCTTGCTGTTCCCCCAAGGGCACCTGGCAGCCCCGTCCCACCACATCTGATGGAGATGTCGGCTTCCCGGGGAGGGGATGCATTCCTCTCCACTGAGGCTGTGTCCATTCCCCTGGGGCCCAGGAGGCCACAACGTCAGCTGCAAGTGGCAGCCGTGTGCCCTTGTTCTGCCGTGGATGCAGCCCTCCCCAGATGTGCAGCTTGGGCGGGGCCCTGGATGCAGGAGGCTCCAGCAGGATGGACCACTCAGGACTCAGGGGTATCAGAATAGTATTTATTGATATGCTCGGTGCTACCTTGTTAATACTGTCACGTTGTCGCGTGGCTGAGGTAATAGGGATAGACCCGCCCAGCGCCGGCCCTGGGCTCCCACAGAGCGCCGTGGACCCTCGGGCTGGGGGCTGGTGGCTTGGAGGGGACGTAGTTATTGCATTGGATTCCTTCCCTCATGGGCACGCTGGCGCCCACTCCCGGCCTCAACCCTGTGCCCACTCGCACACACACTCGCACGCTTACCCAGTCACGCACACGGCCGCTGGCACGCCCGCGCGCTCGCACTCACGCACACTCACACAGGCCATCCTTTGGGATGCATCCTGAGCCTCCTGATAGTAAGCACACTCACTAGTTACAGTAATCGTAGTGAAGTACAGGGGTGTCGGGAACAAGGAGAAAGTGCATGTTGATCTCTGACTGGATGGCGGACCCCAGCCCCTCCCATGAAGGGGTCCTGGTGTCTGCAGAGGGCAAGCCCCAGAGGTGCCGCCAGCCCCAGCCCCTCCTGAGTCATCCTGCCACCGCCCTGCCCCTCGCGGGCCAGCATGCCCACCCCAGGCAAGACAAAATCAACTAAAAAAATAAATTCTTCATCTTGCAGCCGAGCGCCTGATGCAAGGGAGAGGGTGGCTCCAGGCCTTTCTGGCTGGGGGCTCCACTGGGGTCACGGCCAGCCCCTGGCCCAGCCAGCGCCCCAACGATGCCATCTAGGGGGCCGGGTGGGAGAGGTGCTGAGCCCCGTGGCATGCGGACAGGAGGTCGGGGGGTGTGGGCAGTGCTGGGTGAAGCTGAGGCCGTGTATGTGCGGGGCCAGCTGGGGTCAGTGGCACACCGCGATCATGCAGAGGGGCATGGAAGGCCTGGGCAGCCCCGTCCCCTCAGAACTCCACGGTACTCACTACTGTCCTTGGCTCGTCGAATGTGGCGATGAGGATCTGCTGTGGGGGAGGGATGGTGATGAGGCCGCCCACGTCCGGAGGTGCTCGTGGGGCCCCGTCCTCCTCCTCCCGGGCCTCGTATAGGGTGCTGATGTGCAGCAGCGGGTGGGTGGCGTTGCGGCTCAGAATGGCCAGAGGGTCAGCCTTACTCAGGCTGGCTGGGGACAGCGGGGCCGTGGCGGGGGCTGCAGGGGGCGAGCAGACGTGAAAAGGGCCCCCCGAGGGAAGTGCGGCCAGGGCTGGCTCTGCTGGGAACAGGATTTCCTTCTCCGGCAAGGGCGCGTCTGCAAACAGCCCAGAGCACAGAGCCTGTGCAGGCCTCCCTCTCTACCCCGCCTTCCGGTCCCCTCCCCTCACCTGGGCGGCTGGGACTCAGGGCGCGGCCTGGCTGGGTGGACTCGCCCAGGAGCAGCAGCGCCCATTTCCAGAACCTTCTCAACGTTACCACCTTACTGTGTCCCCGCCAGCCCGCGGCCCAGCCTTCATCCCGTCTGTTTCACAGGGCCCTCCAGGGTCCCGCCTGCCCGTCCCTGCTTCCATCCAGCTGGCTCAGTCCTTAACGTCTTTCAAACAGCTCCCAGGTGCAAGCCGTCTGGGGAGCATTGTTGGGGTCGTCCTCCCTTCCCTGCGGCCTCCAGGGGCCGCCCTCCGCTCCAGCCCCGCCCACCCGGCTCCGCCCC